CAGTATTACGTCATTCTGTTATATTATACTAGACAATATATTGGTTGAGTTTGACAGTAGCAGACGTTTGTTTATTGAGATCAGTCTGTATTAAAATTATACGCGCGGCTTATCCGCAGTAAATTTCCACTAGTTACTCCTGATTGAAAAGTTTCACTCCGAAATGCCTTGTTCTTATTTATAGAAACCAATTACGACAATTGCAATATTTCTATTAGATGTAAAGACTTATTAGTGCTATTATTGCTATCGCAAAGAATTAGTATGGTTCATTATTATCAGTAGTAGTATGTCATGTCGGTAAATTCTCACATTCCCACTCCACTAGTCGGCACCCCCTTACTATTATTCTGAATGTTTCACTGATACTATTGTTCTTATTATAGAACCAATTATGGATGATGGCAATGTTTCTCTGATAGTATAATGACAATGGCGATCTAATATCGCTTATGTATTAGATGTCGAGACTTACAAGTGTTGTCATAATTATTATCGGTAGTATTACGTCATGTTGTGTTGTTACTAGTGTTGTTATATACTTGACAGCACCCCTCACAGGTAGAAATATACAATTTCAGCTGCTGATTTGTTTCTGAAATCTGCCAGAATTGCATGTTAAAAGTATTCCGGTCATGTATTATAGGCCATCCGGTATTGACAACTCCCGGTTCTATTTTAACCCTAAAAATGATACAGTTTAGTCTTATTCTCAACTGATTTATGGATGCCATCTTACTGAATCAGTATTACCAATTTCATCTCATATATGCTACATGTCAGCCAGACACGTTTTCAAAATTAGGCAGAAATGCGTCGTTTTGACATAAAAAAATATTAATTGAATCTCAATATATGTAAAATGCCAACAAGATTTAAAAAAATTGGTTATATACTCTCACAAAATAACTTACATCGTCTCTCAATGTGAATATCGTTTCATCAGACACAATCGAACGTATTTCCTTTGCTTCTTCAATGGTTTTATCCAACGCAGATTTTGCATAGCTTAACTATTAAGTATGGTCAGTCAACTTCTCATGAAAATAAGAATTTATAGATGGTAATCTGTTCACCTTGGTAAGTTTTATCGAGTCCGATATCCAAAAAGCGTCTACTTCTTGGGATGATTTCTCGTCCTTACAAAACAGAGAATATATTAGTCTAATCAAATAATCAAAACTTATCATCATAATCAAAGAACTAGGAGATATATTCCATGAAACGAGACGCAGTCTAACAACCAGAAAGGCGCAGTTCCTAGTTGCAACATGGAAATAGAGGCCCCGAGGGAAGGCGCGGTCCACTGTCACTGGCCAAGACGCAGTCAGCCAGTTACTCAGGGCTTCTATTGATAAATATTTATATAAAAAGCACGTACATCAAATTCGTTAAGACATTTTTGAGCTTGAGCACATTTTTCTTTTGATTCATTGTTTGAAATAATTCTAACAAGTTCTTTCATATATTTCCTATGTTCTCTTTTGTGAAATCTTTTGCATACTGTCTGTATTGCAAGAAAAAAACCAATGACCAAGTTGCGTGTTTTTCAAAGTACGTTTGTGGGTCACCCATTTCAAGTGGTATTGAATTTAGCAATTTGGTATTTGCGACGAGTACACGTTATAGATCGCGAGGAACTTTTAACAGGTACACGTTATAATTTTTACTTCACTGCTAAAACGTGACAGCGATCAGCGCATGACCAAATTTCCAAAATAAAATCACATGCCTGAAAAATCGATTGCGTAATACAGTCGACCTCCCATACAGTCACACTGTTGGGAATGACCAAAACCAGGAGGTGGGAGGTTGACTCGTAGTCATGTGATCTATAAACCAAAGGTAAATTTTTCAAAATATTTATTTAATAAGATTAAGCTTGGTACAAAGCTATAATGTATAAGCTATAACGTATAAGCTAAAGTTGTTTCATAAAATAATCATCAATTTTTTGTTGAGACCCAGCAAATTTAAGTATTTACGAAAAATACGCAAATCGCTAAAGTCAATTCCTACTGTTGTTCAATATATCTAATTGCAGTTTCTAAGCCTCGTTTAGCCTCTTTTAATTGCACACATGGTATTTCTTCACCAGACTTAAAGTAGGACGTATTCACAAATTTCGCGCTTATTATCAATACTCAATTGAGCTCTTTTCTTTGTAAGAACATTGGGAACTATGCGACGCCTCGCTGTTTATATAAAAGTTTATAATCCTTCGACAGCATTTATCCATTACCGTTACATTGATATGATCAAACGCGGTATGATACATGTAAAATTACGACTCTGACATAATAAGACAACAAAAGCTGTTACACAAATTGATGTGACTGTATAGGGGGAATTTACCTATTGTCCTCATAATGATGGGAATCCAAAATCGTGTGATTGTGACTAACACTATGAATGTGACTGTGTGGGAGGAAATTTACTATGAAAAAATTCGGGACTGAACAAATGTATGGGAGGTGACTGTATGGGAGGTCGACTGTATATAGAATTTCAAGCATATACTGTATATGAATACGTAACTCTTTGTTGTGTCATTACTTATACTGTCAATTAATTTGTTCAGGATTTCCGTAAAAAAAAAGTGTAACGGTTGCCATGCAACAAGAAAAGCGATTGGGTTCTGCAGGCCAAGATGCAATAATCCATTGGATAAAACTGTTCCGAAAGACTAAAGGGTAAAAGAAAAGCGAAAGATATAGAGTCAGCAAAAACGACAATAACAGTACTGATTATAAAAGCGTAATATTATCTCGAAGCAGCAGTTTATCCAACACATCACAGATTTCCCAGATTTTCTAATATTTCCGAACGAAATCGCTCATAAACAAAACATTTAGAGTAAAAATAATCTGAACATATTCTGTATGAATTAAATAAGCGCCTATTTAGTATTTCAAATCAAACATAAATTTGCATAATATTAATCCAAAATACTTTTTAAATTATATGGTGTCTGAATCTTTTGTTGTAAAGTTACGAGTCACTCATGAGTGGATATGTAGGAGCATGATTCAATTAGACACAAAGCACACTGATTATTTTTTATGTGTTGAACAAAGGAATTCTTCGTCTACCCAATTCCTTTGCAAAACTCATAACACTCAAAACTCTCACATTATGAAATACTGTACCTACCGTATTATTGAGTCATTACCTGGTCAACTTATGCCGCTAGTAGATGCATATTCAAAACAGTTTTATAACAATCCAGATGTGATAAAAGTCAACGCAGTCACGACCTGAATCGACGTGGTTGACAGAAATGCTATCTTAATTATACCAAATAAATCGCTAGTATCAATTACTATGCATTATCATATAATCTCGTGATTAGTGCGACATACATTCGGAGATTAACCTAAAATTGTTTAACCACATAATGACTATAATAATTTTTTTGTTTGATATTTAATTGGTTAATACATCGGTTGATTTTTTCTAGCGACTCATCTAAACGATGAATTATTATCACACATAGTCCGTTGCCTTCCATCGTAAATTTTTTTTGTTCTAAAAATATTGATAGCTGTTCCTTTCCATCTGTATAGATTGACACTTCTTTTTCTTCGTTTGAGTCGTCTACTATTTGCCATTTTTCGATCAGGTCACATAAACAAATAAATGCACATAAACGTAATAACCGACTATATAATGAGAGACGACTGTAATTGGTTCGATATGGTTTAATTATCGTTATGATAGTAGTTTTGTTCTCAATAAGAACTCAGAATAAATGCATCGGATAATTATCTTAGAACCGAACCTTACCGGACACCTAATTCCGCTAAATGACCGCCAACAAACGCAAGCAATATATTCATTCTGAAAAAAGCATATTTTGAAAGCGGTTCTACACCGACCAATTATAATTATCCGTACTGGTAAATTTATTTCCGGGGATCGACCCTTACGATAGTTTACTTTGCAGTTTTTAGCCACCGCATTTGTCTGATTAATGCCCGCGGGTATTTCCCGCACTTGCAAATCAATGACTTGCGAGGAACTTTTATTCACAATGAGGAGCTCATGCACACGTCTTTTGTTTGTAAAATTTGAAATCTCTTTTTTGAATACAGTCAATTCCTAAATGCACGCCACTGAAAATTGGGCAAATCTTGATTGTTATGCATGAACACGCTAAACGTAAAATTATTGGACGTTGAACATGCTGAAGCGTTCATATTGTCTTCTTTTTTTTTTTGTTGATAATGATAATTATCCAATCCTTGTACGATGAAACCATTATTCCAGTGGCGCATTGGGGCAATGTCATCATACAGATGAAACTCTCGCTGAACATCATCATCATGGGGTGTTGTGCATTTAGAGGAAATAGTAATTCATGTAACACCGTTGTATTAGTTACACAATAATAATAGGAACAATATTAATATATTTACTTATTAAATATTGATTTATGACTATTTACCTCATTTGATTACTTTCCCTAAGCCTGTAATGTACTACTGGCACTTACAGTGGGAATTTCAACAGCCCTCCATTTCTTCAGCATTCGCACATCTTTAAATGCCTCTGCAAATTTTCTAATAGGAATATCATATCAAATATCTTCTTCGGGAGCTTTCAAATACAAACGATACAAATTTCTATTTACAATATTCTGATCGATCAATACAAATATTAATCACGTGGTGCTGTAGAAAACAATGATGTGCAGGATGCACATGCAGACAATGTAAAATGCATCTCTCTGTGACAATACATTACAGAGTTCGAAGGAAAAAAAAGTTATTATCAGTTTTCCTAATTAACTTGTTATCAAATTCCTAAATGTCGTAAATATAGTCTCTAGACCTAATTCTGACGTCCATCACTGTGCTGCGCAATAAAAATTATATTTTCAAAATTATTATTTATTATCAATTAATATAAAAAAGACTACTGTAAGTATGTATAATAATTGTGTTATATAAGAGAGATCCGCGCTTCCATTTGACTATCCGATAAGATATTCTCGTAACATGTCTACGTTTGTTCCAATTAGACTTGCTGATACTTGTCAGAATCTACCTCCCACCGATACACCTATTACTTCAATATTTAAGTATGCCGATATACTCACTCCTTCCGAAATTAATCTCGTAAACCACCCTCCATACAATCTTACGCTCTCTCTTGACGCTCTCCTCGATCCTACATACAATCAACGCAAAAAACACGTTACACGTCAACTCCTTCCTCGTCCGCAAAATTCATGGATTATTTTTCGGCGAGACTTTGAAGGTCGACTACGTGCTCAACACCCCACTGAACCATATACTATCCACGAAATTTCGAAGATTGCCGGCAATCAATGGAAAATTCAGTCCGACATGGTCAAAGAATACTTTTACGTGCTTTCTAAATTAGCCCAAAAACTACACCAACTCGCTTTCCCTGGTTACGTTTACAAACCAAAAAGGGCTACACAGAGAAAAAGAAATGGAAATTTTTTATTCAAAAATATTGATAAGGCTACATTTACCAGTAAGCAACATAGTAGAATGCACTCACAAAGAAACATTGAAGATACCAATATACAGAGTATTAAAGGCCAGACAAAGGAGAATAATCAAAGCACGGTTTTTACAGATATAGACAGACATTTCGTCTACGAGAACACGCATAATGACGCTTGGCTCGAAGACTCATTTGAGGATGGCAATAATTACGTCACATCACTCGTCTGTCATGATATCCAATTGACTAATCCGGATAATTCTACTAATATTTGTAACACCGATAGCACGTCAATGTATTCTACATTCGATTTGCCTATCCAGTATCTCGTTTATAATCCTTTCGTTTTTATTTCCGATTGTCCTCAAAATGATACGATTCTTGAAATGTATTATCTGATACCATTGTCTCAAATAGATACCTTTAATGTCGATACACGACTGATTGAAAATAGTGGACAGACATGGCCAGCACAGTTTTACATTACCAACTACTATGGATAAAACATTCTCTTACTCTCGGCGATGTGGGAAAATGACAGAAATATATCAAGGAATAACATATGATTGTATTTTTTTTGTATACACTTATGGAGTTAGTAACTTCATATTAACATATAGCTAAATATGACAAGCCTATACATGAATATGAATAGTCTGAAAGACGCATCCACACATATGTAAACTAGTGCATGAGATTTATTTAACCTGTTTCGTTGTTGTTGTCAATAAGATAATTAAGTTTATTATATTACATGTTTTTCGAAATCAAAGTAATAATAATAAAGTGTTGTACAAAATTTAATCAGATATATGAATATGAAAAGCCGTTGTGAACAAATAAAATTTCGTATTCAAATTTTTATACTTAATAAGATAGTTTATAAGCTTAAATAAGTCTACTTTTATTTGTCTTTGTTAAGTAATTGTTGATATATACGAGTTTATTGTGCGCCAATTTTTTGCAACACAAAGTAGCTCTAAAGCCACAAGTCCAATTTATAATAAAAAACTTATTTGCAATATTTGTTGTTTTTTTTTTTTAAAAAAAAGACTGAATGACCCTCATATAAAAAAATGGCTGCCGTGATAAGGACCGTAATATTATGAAATAGCTACCCCCTTTATCACGTCAACAATTGACGTCATATATTACTTTACTTAGTATCGCTGATTTATTATAATTTAACTTTACAAACACTCTCTGGTAAAACTACAGCTGGTTCATCCACCCTCCCAGCACCTTCCTTCCATACTAAATTGTCTTCTTACCATTGAGAATCATTAAATAGCCCACAGGCTTTAAAGGAGTTCACTATAATATTACATCGCGAAGTAACTGTGTGCGAGTAATTATGCGCGTAATTTTGGCTTAACCATAATAATAAGACGAGTTATAATCATAAACGACAACAAATAGTATGAACTATGACAACCAATATATTAAGAAAGACGTGTTTGAAATCATATGAAATGGTGGTTTGTGATTATGTAATAAACAGAGATAACGTGGACAGTTGTTACGTGACGATTCGTAGATCATTTTGCATTGTCTTTAAGGCGCAACCAAACATCCCATGAATAAAAGCCCCTTTATATAATTAAGGTGGGCCCTTATTCATGGCAGTTTACGGTAGCTGGTATGGTCATTTGAAAAGATGTGTCATCTGTAATTAGTTACGGGGAAAAATACGTGTTACAAACATTTAATAAATTGACATAAACGTTTAATAAATTGACATAAACAAATTTATACAAGTGACGTCATCAGGACTAGACAATCTTGCATTGTGCGTTGAGAGCTGTGTCGCTCAAATTATATTACATTACCTGACAATATATTAATATCAATTTTTTATTGTAAAATATTGATTGATGCTTTGTTTTATTTTATTGCGGTCGGTCTGGGTTTGTGAGAGCAAATTCTTTCGCATGGCCTTTCCGATCGAGGATGTTACTAACTTTAGCTTCATATCACCATTTTTATTTTGGCAATTGTCAATTAAAGCTGAATCTAAACTCGCAAGTGACCCAGTTTATTTAATAGTTACAGTATGCGTTTATCTACTCGCTATACGAGAATCATCACTCGCATCCAAATAGGGTAGATACGACATAATATATAACAATAATTACCACAAAATTGAAAGAAAATTATCTATTTAAATTTTAACTTCGATTTGACATTGGTAAACGTTATTTGTTTCGTATCAATTTATTGCACAATAACTGTTTTTAATACTAATTTATACGCTCTCGCTCCCTTATTTCCGTAATCAACGGATATTTTACAGCTCGAGTGAGCTGTTTATAGGTATATCCGGTTAATTAATATTTAACGAAAAGAAAAAAAGTAGTTCGATTTCAAAGAAAAGCGTTTATTAAATGTTCCGTGGTTTATCCAATAGTTATTATCATTTTGCCGATGGAATTCGAGCTACTTATATATCATCTACTACTGCAGGGAAAAAATGACCCATTAAATAGCTATCGTATGATATTTCAAGTCTAATCTGCTGTTTTTTGATTTTGGCAAATCTCCAGTAAGTAAAAGCGTACTAGAATATTTATTCTCCTTCTCGAGACTTGATCACGGCTTTACATCAGTATGATAGATAGCATTCCACTCGTTGTCAACAGAATTGTCCCTGCCCACATCTTCAACAATATTGTGAATATCAATATTAAGTATCCATCCATTCTCTGGACGCTTGTCAGGATCAGCATCACAACACCGCTCGGCAAGTTTCTTGTATTCCTCTGGTGCAGAATCAGGCATCGACGGTCGCAGCCCCTCACAAACACGTATCGCCAAACATTTGTCAGATGACCAATTTCTAAATGGTTGTTCACCAGTAGCAATCAAATGCATAATAATGCCAAAAGAGTACACATCTGATTTCTGAGTAAATTTGTAAGTATGAAAGACTTCTGGTGCAATGAACGGCAAGACACCTTGACTGATTGAATTTGACTTGCGTGAATTCACTGACTTAGATTGTGAGAGACCAAGATCGCATATTAATGTTCCTATTTCATTATTATTGTTAATATGCATAACAATGTTTCCGTCATGGAGATCACAATGCACTAATCCCGCATCATGAATAGAACGCAGATAATATGCAATATTCTTCAAATGCCGTAATTTATCCAACCACGTCAATTTGTTAATATTTCGAACCAAATAAGACAAAAGACTACCATTATTAGCATATTGCATAACAATAATGTACTCCTTTGTCTCTGGATCTTGTGTCACTCCATAAATATTAAGGAATAAATAACTATCTCTTGCACACTTGGCGTGATTTCTGAACTATTAAATAAATAATAATAATAATAAATAAAGTCAGCTTCAATATCACTTTAATTAATACAACCAATCATTGCTTACCTCGGAAATAAATAACTCCGGCATTCCATCAAATTTTTTAAACCGTTTGAGTACAATAGTTTGTTGCATATCCCATACTTCTGAATACTTTTCATACTTGGCAGTGTAAACTGTTCCGTAACCACCAGATCCAATCTCTTTGAGTTCATAAAAGTCGCTATACTGCATGTATTTAACACGTTCATTGTTTCGTATAAACCTGTCCAGTATTGCATACATGTCGTAATCGAAAACTAAATAATATTCCCGAGTAGATGGCTCCTGAGTGATTCCAATTATCCAAATATTATCAGGTGTTAATATCG